AGTTTTTAGAATCAGTAAATCATCTTGGTCAACTACTAGCTAAAAGAAAGATTCATTTAGTATATGGGGGAGGCAGTCTTGGGTTAATGGAAGGAGTATCAATAGCTGTATTTTTAGAGGTAGTCAAGTTTTAAAGGTTATCCTCGAAGCTTTAGTCCAAGGGGAGATCATTGAAAAAATAATTAGAGAGAAACTACATGTCTCCAAAATATCTAATCAAATAAATGCAATGTTCAAACACATTGATGTCTTCATTGCCTTACAAGGTGGTCTGGACACATTAAAAGATATTTTTCATATTTACTCTTAGGCTCAATTGCACATTCACCATAAACCCATAAGTCTGTTAAATATTAATGGTTTTTATGATAAATTATTGTTTTTTCTTAATCATGCTGTGAAATAGAAATTTCTAACATCTTCGGCATGACAAATCATAATCTATGCTGCTAGTGCTGAACAATTAATTAACCAACTACAATATTTCACTCCTGTGATTGATCCCTCCATGAGTCGTATCAATTGGTCAACTAAGAAAAGCTGTAAAAAGCTTATATTAGATTTGAGTATTCATTTATAAATCCTTATGTTTTTTGGTTTTCTTAATAGTATATTATTTTATTTTGTTATTTCTTATATTTATTTAAATATATTTCAGGTTTGTTAGTGTTCAATGTTTCAAGTGATGTCTTTTATACTTTATCTTTCTACCTTAGGACATTAAAAATAATGTCTCGTTTTGGCTGGGGGGAAAAGGTAGTGGTTGATATTAAAAAAAAACTATGTTTTCTATTTTATAAACCATTTGCAAAACTGTTGTTACTAAGATGACAGAGTAAGGAGGAATTTTATTGACTTTTGAGACATATCTTGATAAATATTTTTCAATAGTTATTTGCAATATTCATAACAAGGTCTATCAAGATACTTCTTAAAATATTTAGGTTTACAAACTCTTGCATTGTTATCACTTAATTCTACTCATATACTCATTTAACAAGTATTCTTAAACCTTCATTTTCACACACACATTTAAACATACGATTGTGGGTTGTATATTGGATTATTATATTATTTATATTCTATTGTTAGAGGTAATAACTAAGGGAAAGGGATAGTATATAAATTACAAAAAAAACAAAATAATAATGATAATAAAAACATAGATAAGTTTGATTTTGTAGCCTCCTTAATCTAAGTAATTAAGCCTGAAGTGGTGTTTTAACACCTAATACCTTAAAGTCAACTGACTTAAGAGCTATTGGCTCAATGCTTGCTATATGGGTCGAGGAGAAAGCTGAGGCAATTTCCTAGAACTTTCATGAGTAAGGTTGGTTCAAAGTCTAACCTTATCAATTATCTTTTTGGTTGACAAAAAGATAAGAATTGTCACAAAGTCAAGAGTTGGCTACCAACTCAACAATCAATCATTAAATCAATAGTTTTTAATTTTGACCTATAAAAGAAGATATTTTTCATGTATTTAGGCATCTTGGTTTTCATATCAAGATCATATTATTGCCTTTTTTCTTTGTATTTTTATAATGCTTCAGTCTTGCTTTCATTAATATCTTGTTTATGCCTTTTATTTCATTTTCTTTACTTAACTAACTTTTATCTTATTTATATTCTTATCTTATTTATTTATGTTTCTCTCTTTCATTATGTTTAGCTAAATTTATTATAAAAAGATCAAAAGATTACACTAGTGGTGTAAGAATAAGTATAGTGTAAATTCAACATAGACTTTAATGTTTGATACTAACATATTTTATATTTGTTATCTTGTTCACTCTTAATACTTTACTTGTTAAATAGTTAAACTAGATTTATATTATATAACACTTGGTATATTAAATATTTAGCACTTTCATAGCGCAACCATATGGTATAACCGACACTTGTTCCATGAAAGGAACTTGATTTGTTGTTAACATAAGTTACAATCATGAATACCTGACAATATTTACAAGTATTAGCATTATTCGAATAAGATAATTAATATAATCATGTTAACCATTTATAATCCAATTGGAATCTCCCTTATATATAGTTTCTAATTGAGCAATAAAAGGAATTTATACTATACTTGTTTAAAATAACATTAATAGATCCTTTAACCTTGACATTTATTTTTATTGTTTAATCTTCATATTATTCTTACATCTCAATGTCTTCTTTAACTTATTATTATTATTATTTATAATTTATACAATTAATCTCCTTGTGGTTTGATCCCAATCTTACTGAGTTATTTATTACTTCGATACTCCAACATTTAGAAGAAGACATTAATCTTTTCATCAAGGCAATCACTTAAAGACAAAGAATAAATAATATCTTCA